TAGCTTACTGTTCGGTGTGAGCCAAGGCTCCGTGTTGAAAACCGTACTGTGACCTATAATGGTTAACTTTTATAAATTTTGACTTGGATGGAGAGTTGTCTCATTGGCACTCATACCACATATTCTTATATCTATAAACATTGAAATACAAACTAACAAGGAGGAGTGACCCTCACATTTATATTTTTTATAAATCTACATAGTTTTTCAAGAACAATATAGTTACTGGAGCTCCTTAATTGTTGAAATTTATATATATTTTGACAAAAAGTACAATAGTGTGGTAACAACCTATTTCTTCCTTGATTTAGTGCATTGCATGACATAACATAATGATATTCATCACCGATGTCTCTTGATTCGCAAAGCTGGCACAACCTATTATATCTGGAGATGTTTTCCACCTTCCTGTCTCAATAGGTAATCGATGACTTCCACATCTAAATTTACACAATAAAAATTGATTACATATTGACAATTTGGAAAAATAACTTTCCAATTTAATATCAGTTTTTAAAATTCTATAACACAAGCATTTAGGAGTAGTGTTAATTTCGCTTAGGCAATTCTGCAAAAACTGGTCTTTAAGTTTCAACTCAATACTTTTAATTACCCATTTATCTAACAATTGGTTCAATCAGATATTTGACATTCCACAAGTATCAAAAACATTTTTTACAAATGATATCCATTTACAATTAAAACCATAGTTGTGAAAATTAATATACAATAGTTTATATAAAAGACATGAAATTTTACTTTCTTTACCAAGAGTAATCTACATAAGAAACTAATCATACGCACTTTGGCATTAAGAATAACAGGATATCTACCCAATTCTGCATAAATATTCAGCTAGGTGTACCATTTTAAGTGTAGAACAAGCTTACAAAATTTAAAATGGACACGTTCTATCATATCAAAATTTTCAAATCCCCACTTTTTTAATATACCATACATTGCTTTTGTAGCTTGTTCACAAATATATTTTCGGGTCTTTAGAAATGAACCACTTCTAGTCAAAAATATACCGAGGTATTTATAATCAGTTACAATTTCTAATTCTCTATTCTGTATAAAAAATCTAATATTTTTGGATTGTCTCCCTTTGGAGAATATAAGAACTTTTGTCTTATTAATATTTATTTTGAGTTGTCATTTTTCACAATAATTACAAAATTCATTTAACTTTTTTTGTAAATCTTCACTACTCTCGGAAAACATCACAGTGTCATCTGCATATAATAACATAAATATTTTTTAAAATACTGTCAACTCGTGTTCAAGGTCATCACTAATAGAGCTAACACCAAGTATATCTTTGCCTTTAAAAGAATGCTGTAAATCGTTAAAAAATATTGCAAAAAGAGCAGGGGAAAGATTTTCTTTTTGACTTACACCCATTTCACAAGCAAATAACTCTGATTTCTCACCATTAAATATATTGCGTGATTTTACATTTTCGTACATATGTTGTATAATGCGGAAATAATTGCCGTTTATATTATTCTCTAAAAGTTTAAATAATAAAAAAAAATCTGTGTAGTGTATAAAATCAAAGGCCTTTTCAAAGTCGACAAAGGCAAAGTAAAATTTGTTTTTCTTAATCTAAGTAACTCAAATAGTGCATATAATGAAAATAAATGATCAGTAGTTGAATATCCATGTCTGAAACCGCCTTGATTTTCTAGTAAAATAGAAAACTCATCAAGATAATCACATAATCTAGTGTTCAAAATAGAGGTAAAAATCTTACCAAGACATGACAAAAGAGTATTAGGACGGTAATTCTGTGGTTCGGTATTACTACCTTTGTTCGTAAAGATTGGTATGACGTTACCTATTATCCATGCCTCGGGTAAAATACCCGAATCAAAAATAATATTAAATACATACATATAAATATCAATCATAAAATCAATAGTAGAAGAAATGTATTCATTTACAAGCATATCGTCACTCGACGATTTGTTATTCTTAATATTTTTTTTATAGCTTTCAATATTTCTTCAGCTGTTATACTTTCATTTAACATAGAATTTTGAGATTCTTGGCTAACATCATTATTAATATCATAAGTATCGCCCTCATAATTGTTTTTGTTTATATCTTTAAAAAAGTTAAACAATGACTCAGTAGTGATATTACAATTGTTTTTATGCTTTACTTTATTCCAAATTTTCTAAAATTCCCATGGGTTTTTGAATCGCATATTGCTCATCTTACTGAGCACATTTTCGTTACATAGTTTGATATTCTCGTCCATGACTTTTTTGTGATGTTTTTTTGACTGTCGAAGTCTTTCTTTGAATAAATTAGATCCATAGTGTTTATAAAGTCTTCGGCTTTTTTAAAATTCTTGTTTAACTTTTTTACCGTCTTTATTAAACCAATCTTTGTTTGAAAAGTTGCCTTTCCTGCCAGTGTTTTTAGAATTTTTAGTAAATATCCCAAATGTGTCTTTTGCAGCACACAATAGAACAGTCGTAATATCACTTACAATACCATCTACAGGACCTTGATCAACTAAACTAATAGCTTCATATTTAGACATTACATTAACACTAATTCATTTACCTTTTCAACATCAATGTTGTTTTATATTAAATTGTCTTTTCATGTGTCCACTTACCAGTGTGTACATTAATGTCATTAATTACTTCACTTTCACCTTGTGTATTATTAAAACCACTTACAGTTAAAGACAAGCACAAAGGAGAGTGTATATCTGAGAATAAATTACAAAAAACAGAAACATCAAAATTATGTACTTTACATAAAATATTAGCAGTACATAATATATAATATACTACACTAACACTTCGGCTTGTAGGTTTACCAAGTACTCGGTCTTTACCGACTATTCCGTTTAATATATACATGTGATTATGAATTAATCTTCTACCATATGTATGGATTACAGTATCAGTACTATTACGTATTCTTGGTATATTAAGATCGTCTAAGACATAAATGCCATAAAACTCATTTACATCTATAAACTAAACTTAAATGTTCTTCGAAATCAGATCTATCGAAAAAATCTTGTTCATTTGGAGTGCGACTATAGAAATCACCAAGTAGAAATATACAGTTACTCTTCTTTTGTAGTTCAAAAAATTCGATTTCAATTTCTGACATTCCATTTTCAGACGTATAACGGGTATTTTCAGGCGGGATATACACTGTACCCATTATTATATCAAATGCTGTTCTTAATAATTTACGATCTACACTAAACCATAAAACAAAAGGACAATCTGTTTCTATACAATGAGTACATTTTGCATACTGTGATCTATAGCCTAAAGCTATCCCACCTGATCTAAATAAAGGCAACAGTAGTATACCGCTGTTCAAAAGTCATAAATCGATTGAGAGAAAACAAATCCGGGTTTCAAACTAAAACCGAGGGAAACACATCAACTATAAGAGGAAAACAACGTAACAACAGAAACACTGAAGTGGAACAAAAACAAACGCCAACATACATAGAAACGAAATATTTGATAACTACTGCCTATTCCTGACTTGGTACAGGACATTTTAAGAAAAAATGGTGGGTTGAACCTGGTTTTATGGCAATAAACTAGTAAATTTTTTCCTGTTTTTATAACGAAAGGTAAAAACACCAAAATTGCACAGTCACAGCAATAGGGACCGATTTGTTTTTGTTGTGATATTCCCAAAAATATCCAAATCTAGAAAAGGAAAATTATTGCTGTTGCTCTAATGTTAGATTTATTCAAATAAGTTTATACGATGAATTTTTGCAGTACAATTATAGAATTCCTTATTATTTAGAGCAAAAAAATCATCAAGTTAACGGTAAGTGTTATTGAATTAATCACCTTAATGGAGTTAATCGGATCTTTACTGATTTTTGCTATAAAATTTGATTCAGGAACAAGTCTTCTTTTTAAAGGAGTGCAATTGGTGCCTAAAGGGAAACCTACGACCTAAAGATAAACTTCCGTAACATCCATTAATGTTGTCACATAGAACATTTACAGTTTAATCATCTCATCACAGTTCTAGAAATATGTCTAGCATAATTACCTTTCCATTCCAGAAGAAGTGTTGTGTTGGGTGTTGAATAGTCATAACTGTCAACTGAATTTATAGAACCATCAAAAGCACGTAATCTATAAGCATCAAACGAGTTTTTTGCACTAAAAAATAATTATTTATATTATTTTTATATGCTATATTGCATAACTTCTGATAACAAGTTCTTGAATTTAAGTAAAGGAACTAGTTACAAGCACTGAAAGAGAAGTAGTAGAACACTTACTTGATGTCGAGATAAAACGATATTTGAAGGATTTGTTGTGTACTTTAGTTAACCAAATACATATTAAGGACCTTCAGATGATTAGAAAGGAGGCCTCCAGTTGAGACGTGGTATTGGCATGATTGTTGTGTCACTCTCTGTGTAGCGGACTGCCCTGAATGTAGTAACATCGATAGTTTCAATCATAAGAACTTTAATGTAGTATTCACCTTTATCTAATACCTCTAACCACATTGTTGGTTGCTTTTTCGGCTGGTACGATCACACAACGCTTTGTTTGTTCCTGAAATTTTCATTCCCTGAAATGAATGTTGTGTTAACCCTTTTATTAGTTTCTGAGTTATTTTCGAAATGTGATATGAATATCCACAATATTCCAACATTAATTCGAATAGGAATCAAGGGTTTTGTCAGATTTCACCCGTTTTACATATTAAACAAGTATTTAGTTGTTCTTTAATCGAAATTATGGAATGGTAAGCTACCGCTTATTTGGAACTTCAGTAGTTATAATAAACAGACATGACTGTTTCAATTAGTGACCCAAGTTCAATTCCATTCATTTAATATGTAGAATTATTACACTAGTACCAATAAATATTTAATAATCATATTACAATGCGACGAAGGATTGAAGATTATATAACGTATATAATATATATTGGATCACAAGCTGTTCAAACTCCTGACATTAGTTGGTGACTGTAAAGATTGATGGATCTTTTCATGCCTGACAACTCTATTATATTCATTTCCAGTAAGTCATCATTTACTTATTTAGTTGTTAATAATTAAAATATGATATGAGAGTTAATACCATGGTTGATTCAAGAACTCAAAAGATAAATGTGTAAGGAATAATAAGAACGAAATTAAATCTGTAAAAATAAATTTCGTGCGGATATCATGTATGTGGCTTTTAATTAAGTTTTACATGTTTTATGTAGTTTCATTAACGTATAATCAATGTCACATTTTTTTACACTTTCAATGCCTTTAGCACGTATGCATAATGATTGAAAAAAATGAAATAATCAAAAGAAAATTACTAAAGTAGCATAAGAGGAGTACGAATGGGTTGATTTAAATCGAAATCCTATGATTTCATTATTTATGTCAGACCTTCTTAATTTTTTTAATGAGACTACATACTCTTATATCGGGAAGTTTAATATCATACACATATTAAAGAAACGGCGGAAGATACTAGATGAAAAATAAAAATACATTAGTTGAAAAGAAATCGACAAAACCATTTCGTTAAACCAAATACGACATTCTACAAAACCCTACTGTACGTAGAAAACTAAAAATTTGACAATACGAACCGCACAAAAACAGGGATAATCTCAGAAGCTCCGTGAGGATACACATATCCTGCTCTTTATGTGGCATCCGTTGTGTTGCTCATGGTAAATGCAAAATCGTTGATAAGTCTCATTCGATGATGTCACAATCGAGAAAAAAAATAAGTCACGTCTACTAACAGCTATTACGCGTTCTTCTTGAATGAATTACGTCGCAAACTTATGAGTTAAAGATACTTTTTTTATTTTTTTTTTTATTATCTTGCATTGGTTAGTTTTCTTCATCTAACATTAAAAAACGTTCAAGCGATGTTGCTATTAATAAAAATCCAAAATGTCGAGGAAAAAACTCATCAAATAATATTATCTGTACAGGGAAATGGACATTATACTTATTGAAGCACGTGTGATATACTGTTGAGCCTAAAGTTCAAGAAGGAAACTAGCTACTCTTCCGTAGTCGGTAAAGTTGGTAAAATCAGCCAATACATGACAATGATAAGTAAAACGTTGTTATATACGGTGCGAATGCCTGCAAGACAATTTATCATTTGGAATGTCCTTTGAAATTAGGGGACGAACATTTGTTTTTAGGGGGAGGGGTCGGGTCATAGGGATTTTGTGAAGATTGGATATTCATTTTTGCCTCTACAAAGTATAGCAGGTGGAAAATTCCGTAAATTTAAACACAATTCAAGTTGTCGAACAACCTTTGTGATTACGGACATTATGTAATGTACATGTACAGTGATTTTAAACGTGTAAATAGACATGCTCATTCGATGTTTTTAACAAATGTTCAATTTCTGTATACAACTGTCATTTCTTAAATCGATTAATCAGAATGCGTTCATGTATCATTTAATTTCTCATAATAATATTGTATCTCAACGCTGGAACATTTTAAGTGACTCTGAGAACAGGTAATGCAGTTATATATTCTTTTGAACATTGTTTTTTAAATTAGAAAATGTAAAGTGGACATATTCCTCGAACGCACCGATCATTCTCATTCTATCTGTGCAAATGTGGGATGCCTTTTTAAATGAATTATTTGTTTGTCAAACATATTTTTAAATATAAGTTTAAAGTTGTGTGATCCGAAAATACCCTTCCCCAAAATAGGACAAAACAATTCCATACCTAATTATGTTCAGCTACACTTCTTTATACTGTTTGATACCAAAATGTCAGGTAAATTCATGTGATTTCAAGATACATTGCCATACAGGAACATTAGACCAGTTTCTGAGTATTATTGTGTTACTCACAGTCACGTTATTTGCTTCATAATTAATAGAATTTCTACCAATGATCCAACTTTTTTTAGGCTAGGAATGTTTCCAACGAACTAAGTGCTCCCAATATTTTAATTAAGATTTTATATTTTAGGTCTAAGTCTGATAGTTTGTTTGACGAAATTTCTTCCAACTTTTCTAACAGCTACATGTTTTTCATTTTAGATCTGAATGTGATAGAAGAAATCTTCCAACTTACTAACTGCCACAAGTATTTCATTTTAGGTCAGGTTTGATAAAGAAATTTCTTCCAACGAACGAACAGCTACATGTGTTTCATTTTAGATCTAGATGTAGGTTTGATAAAGAAATTTCTTCCAACGAACTAACGGCTCTGATTAAATATTTCATTTTAGGTTTAAATCCTAAAGAAGAAATTTCTTGAAACGAGCGATCAGCTCGAAGTAATTCATATTACGTTTGATAGAAGAAATTTCTTCCAACGAACTAACTGCCATAAGTATTATATTCTAGGCATAAGTCTGATAAACGAAATTTCTTCTAATGAACTTAGTGCTGCAATGATTTTATTTTGTATCGAATAATAGAAATTTCTTCCATTTAACTAACCTCTCTATGTACTTCTTCTAAAGTTCGAGAGAGGAAATTTATGTAATGCAATATTCTCATAGTTTTACGCAAGTTTCTAATTTTGTTGTTTCTAACAGAGAAGAAATTTTTCTAACCACTGAAGTTATCAAAAACCGTTTGCAAAAATTAGAAAACAGTTGATGCATTTGGTATTTTTTGATAAATTCATGAATTTTGCATATTTCTGTCCGCAAAGAGGACATTCCTGGATTTTCCTCTTTTATTTTGGACTGCCTTGTAAAAAACTTTTAAGTGTGTCATGTGTAATTATAATGGAGGCATCTGGAGAAGCGACATAAATCATACATTAGTGTCGTATTCAGACAATGTTTTAACGCACCGAACCGTAAAGGGTAATGGGAAATATATAAAATTTAGAGTATATCTCACTGCTAAAGGTATATTGAATGTAATATATGCAGTGTCACTAAAATTAAATACTGAAAGAGGAAATAAAGGGCGGGGTTTTTGGAAGTTCAATGCTAGTATCGTGAACAATGAAGAACATGTTTATGTTATTAAAAAACTAATATCTAAATACGAAAAAGAATTAACCAATTGTGATGATTTGGGGATTATTTGGGATAATTTGAAAAAAGAAGTAAGGGATGCAAGTTTAGACTATAGTTAAAGAAGATCTAAATTAAAGAAAGATGAAATAAATGTTCTGGAAGCAAAGCTGAATTATCTAAATAATGAAATAGATAATAGCACTGACACAAATAAAAAACTACAAAAAGAAATAGAGAATGTTGAAAATAAGTTAGATAATTTGTATAAAGACAAGATTAAAGGTAAAAAAAGTAAGGTCACAGGTAAAATGGTTTAAAGAGGGCGAAAAAATAGTGCATACTTTTTAGGACAAGAAAAGAGTCGTCAAACGGAAAAAGTTCTGAAAAAAAAACTGAACTATATGATGAAAATGGTTTGGCGACCAAATATCAAAATAAATTTTAGACTTGGAAGTAAAGTACTATAAAAAAAACTTTATGAATCAACTAATCCCTGTGATAATGATGTTAAGATGTATATAACAGAACCAGAACTATCAAAACAGCTAGATGGATCAGAAAATGACCAATGTGAAGGGGGTGTGACTGAGAATGAATGTACAGAAGCAATTTTTATAATGAAGTTAAATAAATCCCCTGGCTTGGATGGTCTGACAGTGGAATTTTATAGGCAATTTTGGAATTATTAAAAAAAATATTATGGTCAAAGTATTCAATAATAATTATCAGAAAAAAGAACTTACCAATCCACAAAAAAAGGAGAATTTCTTTAATATTTAAAACTAATCACCCGCTTTTATTAAATAATTACCGTCTTATTACATTACTGAATATTGATACAAAACTGCTGGCTTATGTGTTAGCCTAGACCTAAAAGAGGAACGAAAGATCCCAGAGGGACAGTCAAACTCATACCTAACTGGTTATGTAAAAAAATAGATATTTTGGCTTTAACATAAGACAAATTCAAGACATAGATAATTATTCAGAGAAATTTAATATAGAAGGAGCAGTACTATTTCTAGATTTGAGTAAGGCTTTTGATTCTTTAGAATGGATTTTTATAATGGAAACTCTCAAAAAGTTTGGATTTAAATGTGGATTTATCAGATGGGTTGAAACTATGTATAACGATATTCAAGGGTGTATTTTGAATAATAGGTGGGTCTCAAGTCCATTTAAAATATATAGTGAAATACGCAAAGGATGTACGATTTCTGCTCTACTGTTTGTTATAACAGTAGGATTAATGGCAAGAAGATTGCGAAATAATAAAGAGCTAAAGAGAATAACAATAAAATTAGTTGGACAATCTTGTAATTAAAAAAATTTGTCAATAACAGATGACACAACATTATTGCTGTAGTCTCGTAAAGATATAAGTCTGCCTCTCATTATAATTGCGACATTTGGAAGTCAATCAGGGCTGAAATTAATAGGAATAAAACAGAAGAGAAATGGGTAGGGAGATTTAAAAGCCGTAAAGATATATATGAACATATCAATTGGACAAATAAACCAGTCAAAAGTCCTGGTATTTATTTTGGTTATGATAGTAAGGAATGTCAAACATTAAACATAGAAAAAGTCTTGGATAAAACAACAAAGCTTGTAGATAGATGGTCAAAAAGAAATTTAACATTGCTCGGAAAAAATTTAATTGTAAAAGCTCTTCTGCTACCAAAGTTAACCTATGTTGCTACTAACAGTATTATTACTAAAGATAAGTTGCAAATTATAAACAATATAATTTATAGATTCGTATGGAATGGAAGATACAATAAAGAGGTCAATATTAATTGTTGAAGGGGCTTAAAAATGATCGAGTTAGAGTCTTGCATAATGTCAATACATATAAAATGGATTAAAAGAATAATACAATAAGAAAATACTAACTGGTCTGTGTTGCCTAAATTATACCTCAATAAGTTTGGCAAAAAGGTGGAAATTAATGCACTTTATCTTGCCAAATATAGAGCTGTTGTTTCAATGGAAAATTTCAGAACATAGCTTTTGTTCATATTGTGATGAACAAGATAACTACAATGA